TCACTCATTCCGGTCATCAATAGTAATTTCTTCTTAAACGAAGGAGTGACTGGCAGCTTGGTATATACTCTATCCATCTGGGACCTCGGACAACGGACCAAAGCTTGATACTCCTCTATTGTTGGTGTCAGATCTACTCTACCAAATGTGAAACAGCTATAAGCTGGGTTCCAGAACTGTGACAATGCTCTAAACAGATTTCGGTCAATGGAACATCCAGAAGATAAGGAATATCGCCGTACAACTGATAAAACATCTCCTTATCGGCTACTGTCCATCTTCCCCATATCTCCTTTAGCTCACTTAGATCATTCTGACGCACGTTGATGTGAGTATAACCAAATAACTCCGACACGTATCCAGGCATCACGCTGTCCCCATTGGTCAGTTGGGACTGTTCCGACCACCTCAAAACATCTGCATTGTCTTCAACCTCTTTCTGAGCCGTTCGTTCCATATTACTGGCCTTCTATATGGACATCGATCCCAAATCAACACCATGAAATGGATCGTGCAATGCAAAACATAAAAAAAAAAACAAGGCAAAGATAACAAAAGATCGGTTAGTAAACATAAAGCAATTAAGTTGGGATAATAATTTATTCAAGAATCCTACCCACACATGTTGGCTACCCAATCATGTTTTATCATATCGTACCCAACATGATATCTACCCCCATGCTTTGTTATTCACAAAAATAAATCCTAACCGCATGATATCTAATTCGCATGCTTGTTCAAAAAATAAACCTGACCACATGATATCTAGTTCGCATGTATTTATTCGAAAAAAATGAAAATAAATGACTCAAAAAAACTTTTCCTTGTGTACCCTCCTCACGGGATTCTTAAGGTTCGAGTTTAGCTCAACCTAAGTTCGGGCTCTACGTTCACTATATGCCGGGTTAGGTTCTAAAGTAATAGGTTCTCGAATTGTCCTTGCCGGTGCCCCATTGGGCTGTCGAACCCTCAATCCTGGCCCATCACAGGCTTTAGGGGATCGAGTTCAATTTCGAGGGAACACACCTCCTTATGTCCATGCGGAGGTGATTACCATCACGAGGACCATAAGGCGTGAGCTCCAGGAGCGATCCACTATCCCATGCGGAGGTGAAAACCACACGAGGGCATAGTCTCTCACTCCTACTTAAATAGGACGGAGCGGGGTTTTAGCTCATGTTATGATAATGCAGTTGTGCAGTGTGTGAGGAAAAGCGAAAAAACAAACAATAAAAACACTCAAAATTTCCTAATTCACACAATTAATCTGAAATCATTAGCAAACAAATTAGTACAACTATTTAATTGTTAATCGAATTAAATTAAAAAAAATACAAACAAAACTTAATAAAAACCAAACAAGGGATCAAAAATCAAATTAAAACGAATTTGTAATTTTCAATTGCAAAGACAATTAATTAATCGACTATCGGCTTGACTCTCTAAAAAAAATCTCCAGCAGAGTCGCCAAGCTGTCGAAACGATTTTTTTCTTAAATGTGAAAAAGTGAGATTTTAAAAAACCACATTAATTATTAATTATCTCTTTTTAATTTAAAAACAAATGCGATTTAAAAGACCTCTTGTTTCGAAAATTTTGAATTTCCTTTACGATCGAAAAATACGGTTCGAAGAGTCGCCACTAATCTTTGATTAGGGTGTGATTGGGCACCCAAAAATGCTTTATCATTTTAAATAAAAATTAATTTTAATTAAAACAACAAATTGAGGTCTGCGTTACCAAAATTCGAGTTCGGGAGTCGGTTACGTGTGGGGAAGGATTAGCACCCCCACAACGCCCTAAATCGGTACCTAGTCGATTAATTAACGTCTTTGCAATGAACTTTACAAATTCGAATTTATTTTGATTTTTGATCTCATAAAATAAAAATGTAAATTTTAAACATTCAAAAACACTTAAACAAATTAAATTAAAATTACCAAGTCATTTTAGAAAGATAAAGAATGTTCGATTATTTACAAATATCGAGACCAGATCTTAAAGATATAACAACCTTTTCTCGATATATTTAAATAAACGAACATTTCTTTTTCTCTCGTTCCCAAATTTTAGGTGACGAATCAATTTTTTTGTTTCACTTTCGGGATACACTTTTATTTTAAAATCATTAAAAGCGGACCTCAAATCAGTTATGACTGCCCACTTCAACAATTTTAAATTAAAAGGGTATTACCCTTAATCCAATTATGTGATATGTCGAGTTATGCAAATGAGGCTATCATGTGAATTATGCAAAAAGTATGTCATGCCAAAATTAATTAAACAAAATTAAAAAATAGCATACAATGTGATATACAAAAAATTATGTACATATGTTTTAATTAAAAATCATAAATTATGCATATTGACATATTATGAACACATGTGACCTAAATATAAAAACAAAATCATAACATGTTAAACTATAAATTTAAAAAGTGTATATATACGTGTTAAAATAAGGACTAAATTTAAATGCACGTAAAATCAAACATGTAAAATGGGAAATAAACTAGAGACTTAAACAAAAAGGCACATGAAACTAGAGGGTCTTATATACAATTCATCCTATTCATTTTAAATTAGGATAATATGTAAAATAACATAAATAGTACATGCACATTTGAAAAGAAACAAGAAAATTAATACAAGAAAGGACTACTTTGTAAAAGAGAATATAAATTGTGAGGGCCTAAATTCTAATTTACCTAAAACTATTAATATTAAACCTAAGTAAACTGCTAAACTATCCTAATCTTCAAACAGAACATACCTAGACGCACTCCTAATTTCCTTCTTCCCTTTCTTCGCACACTGCCCATCTCTTTCTCGGCCATGCATGGCGTCGCTCTCAACCACCATAGCTTCTAGCCGCCTAGCTTTTCAACTCCGGTGAAGCATAAATCTATTCTACATGGCACTATCGACAACCATAGAAGTAAAAAAAAAAAAAAAACCGACCCTATTTCCTCCATACCCATGAACGCCGCCGTGATACCCAAAACCGAGTACTCTGATCGTCACCTTCGATTGTCGGATAATCCAGAAACGAATTTAACCGACCCTAAATTCTCTTATTCTCGCCATTTTAATACCTCCCGAACACTAAGACCCTGCGCACCCTCAATCTTGCCGACGAATTCGACACCAAACAACGATGCGTTGCGAGGTAAACTATTCAGACCCTTCTCTTATTATTATTTTGGTTCAAATATGAGGAAGGAAACTTACTGGAAATACAAAGAAAAATGGTTGATAAATATATTTACTATCCTTTGTACTCTATTCTCGTATGGGAGAAAAGACATTAAAAATAGGAATGATTGCGTGTCTTGCTTTCTCTGAAAAATGAAGGAGAAGAAATTACAATGCTTTCCTTTTTTAAAAAAAAATCCGAGAAGCCTGTTACAAGTTTCCACTCTCAACGAAGACTTGGGATCACTCCTCTCCGACGAAATTGAAGCAAAATAAGGTATAAAACTAACTATTCATTTATGTTTCTACTTCAAAACTTTCTTCTTTTATCATGCTTATATCAAAATAGAACACACACTACACTGTAAATAAAAAATGAACTTAGAATAAATATACCTCGAGAAACTGCTATTGCCTTTGTGAATGAGTGATATTTACTTCTACTGGCAGAGTGAATAAAAAAATGCTTTCCTTTATTCCTTCTAAAATGGTGGTCGAGAGACCTTTACAAAAGAAATTTTTTTGATTTGTTCCCTTTCTCTCTTCCAATGGTCTCTGTTTTCACTCGTTCTTAATTAATCCCCTTGTTGTCTCTCTTTTTTCTTTTTTCTTTTGTTCTGTCTCCCTTTTCCAGTAGTTAATTCCCCCTTCTCTGTATGATTTCTGATGGTTAATGCCTCCCCAAAAACCGACCCTCACCTTCACTTTTCTTTTTCACTCCCAATAACCGTTTTTTAGTTTTTTAGGATTTCACGTGGACTAGGCTTGGTCATTGAATTGGGCCTCCAACTACTCTGCTTCGGGTCTGCTCCGACTTAGTCCCGGATAAATCGAGCATCTACAGCTTCTAAATCCCTAAAGATAACATGGAAATTCAAAATGAAAATCCTAAATCTTAAAATATAAATCCCAAGTGTTTTTAAATTTAAATGCCTAAATATTTCGTCCATCTTCTTCCAGATAATGTTGATTGGACTGATTCTAGAACCCGCTACTGTTGATTGGATCTTCTGGAAGCTGCCACGTCAGATCTCGTCGTGTCCATGCCTCCGACCATGATCAGAAAATAACAAAAAGTTGCAGAACGCGCCTTTTGCTTCCAATTCTAGTAAACTGTTCTCTGCACAGAAAATAAGCCAAATGCAACCAAATCAGTAGTGCACATGCCTCCGGCCATGATCAAAAAACAACAAAAAGTTGCAGAACGCGCCCTTTTGCTTCCAATTCTAGTAACGGTTTCTGTACAGAAAATAATCCAAATGTAACCAAATCAGTAGTGAAAAGTTCACAAAGCAAGAGAATTGACAAGCAAAAAGTGTCAATTGCAAGCAGTCATCATTGATCAAAAACTTGTCCATGTTAGTTCTAATTGTTTATTTAAAGAGATTGAGATTCCCTTTGTCTCCCCTTTGTAATATATATGAGCAGATTGCAAGGGAAAGAGCATACAATTTCAAGGCCTTTCCTCTACTCTGAAAACAAGAAAAAAATGGCTACTTCTTACTATTCTCGATCCAACATTGAGCCGGTTGAGGGAATCGGAGGGGGCATCTACATCATCATCATCATTAGGTCATACACTAAATGCCCTTCAGGATTTGCATGAATGTGTTGATATGTTTCTTCAGCTACCCCTCACTCAACAGGCATTAACCCGAAAGCAGCACCGAAAATGTTCCGAAGAGTTGTTGGATGAATCCCTCATGATCTTGGATGTCTGTAGTATTGCCAAGGATGCTTTGATTTAAAAAAAAGGAATGTACTCAAGAACTTCAATCGATCTTTCGCAGAAGACGAGGGCTGAAATGGAGCATTTGAATGGGGTTAAGAAATACTTAACCTCTAGGAAGGCTGTTATGAAGGTTTTAAATAATCTGAAGCAAATGGAAACTAAATTTATCACCTCTTGTTTCGACAACGGCATTGATGATGGTGATGTGATTAGTATGTTAAGGCAAGTGGAAGAAGTTACAATCAGAGTGGTCAAGTCCTTTTTGTCCTTCATCTCAGGATCAGAAGCAGAATCGAAGTCGAGCCGATGCTCACTAGTTTCCAAGCTAATACAAAATAAAAGAGTAGGATCTGAAGAAGGTCGCAAAACAATGAAATTGCAAAGGCCGAAGATGCATTGCACTCCCTCATTAAATCTGGCAATACCAAGCACATTGAGTACGTGCAAAATCAGCTCCAAAAATCAGAACTGTGCATTCAAGATCTTGAAGGACTTGAAGGCCTCTTTAACCGTTTGATCAAAGCTAGAGTCACCGTGCTCAACATTCTCAACTGTTCATCTTGAGATACCAATTGTACATAAATGGAACGTACATGTATACAGTAACTAATAGAAAAGTTATATGATCCAAAGTTTTCCTGCACTGTTCTTCCCTTTTCTCAGTTTTGGGTTAAATTTTGATCATTTTTATAGAATGGTCTGGTGTTTATTTTCATAAGTTTTAATACAACTGAAGCCAAAATTTTGATCCTAAACCATTGGATTGACACCTGCAAATTGAATGACAGAGTGAAAGAAGAGAATGGACACCCACTCTTCTTCAATGTCAAGTTTCCTGTTGTCTCAATTCAGAACAAATTATTAAACACTATTAGAAAATCGATTGTCATTCACATGGTTGATTCAGATCATACACGAGTTGTATTATAGAAATTTTTTTAGCTGTATTTCAGTTAGGGGACAACTGAAACTTCATGTGCTATCTTCTTCCCATCATTAAAAAATAAAAAAATTTGCAGCCAACACATGCTTTCCAGCTAAAAATATAGTATACAAGTGAAGTATGCAGATCTCTGTCTCCCTTTCGGTGAATTTTTTTTGAAACTAACACGATAAACAGCAGACAAGTTGAAAGCAATAATTCATTATATAAGGGAAGAATAGAAAAAGGAAGAAAGGTAATATATACATGTATAAAATGGCCATTGCCTGTATACTGTCTTAGAACCTGTGTATTAGTACATTATTGTTGCATTAGTATTATGTTATTTAAGGTATGATTGTGGAGAGGAGACAACAGGTGAACATTTTCATGATACTTGTGTAGATCCAAATCAAGTCCAGCTTAGTTGTAATTGATATTTAAATAGGATGAGATTCCTCATGTCTCCCCTCAACCACTAACATATATTCAGCAGATGATATGGGAAGAAAGCAAATAACTAGACTGGGTTGAATCACACAATTTGAAAGCCTTCTTTCTTCTCTAAAACAAAGAAAATGGCTGTCTCTCCTTTGAATGTCCAGCCTTCTTTCCATGCTCGCTAAAACAGCTTGCCTTCGAGGCAACATCCCATCGCTTCACAAATCGATGAAAATCTGAACCGATTGAGGGCACCCCAATCGGCCTCTACATCATCGTCAGTAGGAGATAAACTGAACTGTCTTCAAGATTTGTATGACTATGTCGATATGTTTCTTCAGTTGCCCCTCTCTCAACAAGATCTTGCTCAGGAGCCGCAAAGGAAATTGGTTGATGAGCCTTTGGATGGATCTCTCTTGCTCCTGGATGTATGTGGAACCGCTAAAGATGCCTTGCAGCAAACAAAGGCATCACAGGCTGAATCCTTGTTGTCCTTTATTTCAGGGCCAGAGGCTGAATCCTTGTTGTCCTTTATTTCAGGGCCAGAGGCTGAATTGAAATCAAGCCGGTGGTCACTAGTCTCAAAGTTAATACACCAGAAAAGAGTAATGTGCGAGGAAGCAGAACAAAAAACAAAAGAAATTGCAAATGCTGAAGCTGCGTTGCGTTCCTTCATTAAATCTGGAAACATGAAGCATGTCGAGAGTGTGCAAAATGAGCTCCAAAACACAGAGATGTGCATCCAAGATCTTGAGGAAGGTCTTGAAAGCTTCTTCAGGCGTTTGATCAAAGCTAGAGTCACTGTCCTCAACATCCTCAACCGTTAAAATCTTGGCAATGTAATTATACACAAGTATATGACTTACATGTATACAATTGTTAACAAAAAAATTTATACAGCCTTCTTTCCACAAAATTTGATCTCTTCCCTTGTGTTTCTAGAATGATTGCAATGCACTGGTAACCCTTTATTGCATTGATATGAAGAGAAACAATGAGTGAAGGTGGTTCATCTACCCTCACCATTTCATCGGTCTCATATAATAATTCATATGCAAGAAGTTAAGATGATTCATTATCCCCGGTGACCTATGTTATAGCCAAAGTCAGTGCACAATCACTCCCGGTGGACTAACCAGTCTTATATCCTGAGATTTGTTCAATCGGATGCTTTTACATAGAAACGATGGCGCTAGTCTGGCACGTAACTTCTATACGTGCAATGCTTTCATCGCTGCCACTAGTTCTTACCCTGGCTTCGCCACGACCGGTGACCAAGATACTCGGAAGAGGGAAATAGCGGCTTTCTTGGCCCAAACTTCCCATCTCGAAAGTTGATTACTCGATGTTCATTGTATTTTTTATGATGATCGATGTTACAGGTGGGTGGTCCCTATTCATGGGGATACTGATTCAATAGGGACAGAACCCACCTTCAAGTTACTGCCAACCGAATCCAGCCTACCCTTGTGCCCCTGCTGGACAATATTTTGGCAAGGGTCCCATGCAACTTTCTTGGTTCGTTTCTTCTCTCGAAATGATATAGAGACGTTTAGATTGTTGTACAAATGACTAATCAACTTTGGTGCTTGAGCACAGGAACTACAACAACGGGCAGTGTGGAAGGGCCATAGGGGTGGACTTGTTACACAACCCCGACCTGCTAGAAACTGATGCTACAATTTGCTTTAAGTCAGCGTTTTGGTTTTGGATGGCCGCACAACCGCCAAAGCCTTCTTGTCACAATGTGATCGTGGGAGCGTGGCAGTGGTTGGGATGCACAGGTGCAGGACCGGATTGGGTTCAATAGGAGGTACTGTGACATCCTCGGAGTTGGCTATGACAATCTTGGTCGCATTATATTAAGTTAAAGTTCAGATATGTAATACGTGTTTTTTTATAAAACAAAACCTTAAGATGTAACAAACATTATAAAGTTAAGGATAGTGCCCATTCGTTTCGAATATCACAACATGTATATCAGCAAATCAGGTTTATTTTATTTATAAATTTATAACTGATATTATATTTAATATTTTGTACGATATAAATATTTTTTTAAATTCATAAGGTAGAAATTAAACAATTAAGTTAACTCATTAAGAGTCGATAGCCATATCATCTTGCAGCAGTTAATTCATGGCAGCCAGAGGGTCCATGCCATTTTCGTCAAGTCATCCGCAACCATATGATTTCACGAAATCATGTATATAAATGTTAAATAGACTAATATAATAAATAAATCATATAATTTATTTGTGAATAACAATAATTTATATTCTTGATTGCATTAAATAAAATAAGGGTAAAGTAAACAAATTGTCCCCCGACTATAAGATATTATTTTATTGACTCCATCTACTATTAAAAGTTACAAAACAGTCCTCCGATTACAGGGTGTTTCTTTGTTGAGTCCCTCGACTATTAAAAGTTACAAAATGATCACATGACTATTCATATGTTCGAAATTCATCCTTTTTTGTTAAAAAACTGATGGTCGCCTGAGTTGAACGTTAACATGCTAACTAGGATATGATAGTCATTTGAGATTCTATGATCAGGTTTTATCATATCCTAGTCAATAGGTTAATATCCAGCTCAAATTGTTGTCAATTTTTTTAACATAAAGGAATAAATTTGGAACATATGAATAGTCGGTGACCATTTTGTAACTTTTAATAGTTGAAGACTCAACAAAACAATACCCTATAGTTAATGATCAATTTTTAATTTTTAATAGTAAAATGACTCAATAAAATAATACCCTATAATCGGGAGATAATTTGTGTACTTTACCATAGAATAAATAAGAAACTCTGATCCATAAATCATAAAATAACAATTAATTTATGATAGACAAATTAATTTGAAGAAACTTCATTCTCCTTTTGTAGAATGTTGCTTTAACAAATCTGAAAAGGATCCACTCCAATGAATCAGATTGAAGTTGATGATCATTCCATACTTATTTTATAATCCAATGTGTAATAATTCATTAAGAAATTTTATTGAACAAACATTTCTTTTTGATGAAATGACCATCCAGCTCAGTTTGTAGAGCATAAGGTTTTTAACCTTGAGGTTGTGGGATCGAGTCCCATGGAGGGCATTTCATAATTTGGAGGTCTCCTACGGAAGCTGCTCTCAATCTAGTGTTCTAGTGTTGGGGGCAGCCTACTATCTTATCTCCCCTTACCCCATTACATATGGGAACAAGGGACAACCAACCATTTCTTTTTTATTAACAAAATATAATTTCAACGAATAGTTTATTCATAAAAAAGAGGAAAAGTCTTTTGATTTATGAAATAGTCTTCCAAAAAAAATAAAAAATACATAGACAATTAGGAGTGAGTATTTAGATCAAGTAAAGTTAATTTAAAAAACTTTGGTTTACGAGTTGACAAGTCATGTTTTATTATTCAAATCTTATTTGAACTTTTCGAGTCGAATTAAGTTTGTGAAATTAGAACTTAATCAAATTGAGTTGTTTAACTTTCTCTTATATTTTTTATAAAGTTATGGTACATATTGGTTTCAGTTTAAACGACTTTTTCTAATCATGTAATATATACATATATATATATCTTTATATTCTTTGTCACACGTGTAAGTAAAATTGATAATGTTATTTAATGAATTAACTAGCATTTAAATTATAAAGTATATTTATAATATTATTTCTAAACAATAGTTTTTTAGGATAAATTATCGATGAGATTATAAATGACTCAAAGGACTCGACAAGAAAAAAAATTACAAAGCAATTAATCAAATGATTAAGTTAAATAAAATAAGATTAAATTGAAAAAAAGACTAAATTTTATCTTAATAATAGAAATTGAAGTTATAAAGGTATCATTTAGTGTTAGTGAAAATTTAAAATCTATATCCATCACTTATTCACAACTTATAATAAGTAAAAATTTTAAATTCATATCCATTTACGAAGGTACGTTTTCAAATTTATTTTCATACCCACTACTCAACTGGATACTTACCAATCTCGTACATGTTTGTATCCGTTCATACTCATCAATTTAAGATAGAACAAGTACCTTCAATTCTAAAAATATTTATATTCTAAAAATTTTAAATCCATATTCATCTACCAAGGTACGATTAAGGTAAACAAATTCATACAAAACACGGTATCGACAGTACCTCGTTAAAAAACCTTCATGAACCTAGGTGGAGAAAAAAGAGTGCACCTAATCAACCCCACAAGATTTGGTCTGTTACAACACAGAAAAGCATATAACCACTCAACCCGTGCACAAACACAACAAACTAAAAAGTACTCCATGATATTATTGCAGATGCTAAACTTCTCCAACTCACGCAAGGAAATATGGAGACCATGAGGCACTCCGACACTCTGCACCAGCCTTTACAATCCTTATTGCAAGCAAAAAAAAAAAACAGATTGGACTGCAGCAAATCTTACTAACTTTACCAATCTAGCGACAACCCGACCATAACTATACCAATAAACCAACCAGCTTGTACCAGCAGAGAAGACAGACACGAAAGTCCAGCACTAGCAAAACACCTTCACAACCACATAAAAAACCAATCAGCGACCTTCAAACGATCTTAACACCTTACAGAGATATCATAGGGCCACTTCATTGCACTTGTGAAATAACAAGACCATCCTAGAACCCGCATAACCTGCCCACTGTACTTAGCCAACGGAGCGGTTAAGGTCTCCTTAACCCTTCTTTTGCCAGTGCGTGGTCGATATGATTCTTTTCTCTGAAGACGAGACTTCGCTTGAACAGGGACTGCGCACCCAAAGCGAGGCAAATCCTAATAGCTTCAGCAAACAAAGGAGGCTCGATGCAAGGGTTTTCTATCTGTTAAACTGGAGCGACAAATTAGACCAAGAGCAAAGCTTATCCATTAACCTTGCCCCAAATGGAAGGAGTAAGACTTAATTCAAGTTTATGGTGACTTCATCCAATTTGAAATTTGACTAGACTTTTTAAATAAAATTTGTATCCGACACAACTCGATCCAACACAAACATATAAAAAGATTATTAATTTTATTCGATAAAATATTGGTATAATTGAAAAGAAAATCATATAGAGGAGATATTATTGCAATTATATAAGGTATAATTACATTATTTTTTAGGATTGGTAGAGCGAATACTTTTTACTCTAATCTCCAACCCGACTCAAGTTTATCCTCTAAAAAATTCAAGTTGGCCAAATCTAAATACAAACTTTAAAAAAATGTGACACTCAAAACTCGTTCAATTTGGATCTCATGTCCATCCCTAATCATAATTTTTATAAAAAAAAATGTATTCAATGAATATCTTCATGGGGTAAGCATGATTTTTATAAAAAATATGTATTCAATGAATATTTACAGACGAAATGATAAAAATATTATTATTATAACGTTATTTATTATTTAAAAATTTGTTTTTCTATTTTTTATAATTTAATTATTTTATGATACAATTTAATGAAAAATTAAATAATATTTTTTTTATTAATTTAGAATGATTTCAAGCGATAGTATATATTCTAAAAATTCAACTGAACGTTCAAATACCCTACAGTCATTGGTGCTCAAACTCAAGATCTCTAGAGATAACAGTCATCCTTTAATCATTGAGATCAATTGGTTCATATAAAAAAATTAAATAATAGTTTAACTAAATCAAATATAATTGAATTGATATTGATTATATTTTAAAATTTGAGCTTCAACCTATAATTTTCTTTTTAACTTTCCAACTTTTTTTACAAAAGAATCAATATACAGAACCATTTTTTTATTTGTCACGCACAGATAGAAGGTGATTTTT